AGGACTGTAATATTGGCAGGTACATTGTAATGAAATGGGGCTAGTTTTCTTTTGCAGTATGTGTCTTCATTTACTGAATCAGCTTTTATTTTGCATGCCAAAACATTTAGCTTATCTTCAGACATCAAACCTGAATATACAATGTAACATTGAGTTCTGTAGCTTATTTTAGTTTCTCTTTTGGTGCTATATTGCTATATTTTCACTAGCAGATGCTGTTTGTTCACCATTGTTTGTGTGAAGTGTGTCACTGAATCTGTTAATTTCTTTGTGTAATTAACAAAATGAAATGTATGAAGAAAATTTTAGGAACTCACAAGTGATTAGTGGTGTGTTATAAATTCTAACGTTAAAGTATATCAGCCAATATTTTTAAGCATCACTTTCTTTCATTTTACAGACGTTTAGTCGAGAAGGCAATGATCTGTTCATGAACCATAAGATTGGGCTTGTGGAGGCGCTGTGTGGCTTCCAGTTTATGCTGAAACACTTAGATGGCAGACATATCGTTGTGAAGTCCCCTCCTGGCAAAGTCATTGAACCAGGTACCATGCTTATGTACATTTTCTTTTGTTATCCACCGACTTTACACATTTACATATAATAAAGCACATCAAGTGAGTTAGTTGAGGGACAGGTAGCCAACTGACCACAGCTGTGCAGGACTGTGTCTGACAGAATCCACATAAGTACATTTTAATAACAGATGTCCCATATCACCATCTATATCAATTTTTAAAATGCATCAATACAGAAAAAATAGAGATGGCAAGTGATCTTAACTTAGCTGGTTGGCACATCCCCTGTCTAGGCTGCACACAGCTGGTTATTTTGGCAATTGGCAGCATGTTACACCTTTGTTCAGTGTTTTCAAGTAACTAAAATGGACTGGACAGAATTATTGACACCCTCAACTTAGCATTTGGCAGCACACCTTTTGGACAAAATAACTGAAACCACTCACTTCCTGTAACCATCAGCAATGAAAAATCCTCTGGCAATTTTTTGCTCTTCTTTCTTCTCTCCATGCTCAGTGTGGTCCGCACAACACAAAGGTTGAGTCACCTTTTCTCAATTTTACTGTAACTGGTTGCCAGTGTGATTTCTGTTTTACCAGCACCCGTTGATCGCTACAGGTGAATTTTATTACAAATTACAGGTGCATCACATGCTTGAAATGCAACTATTTGTGATGATTTTGAAAAGGTGTCAATAATCCTGTCCAGTCCATTTATGCAGGTCTGTGTGAAATGTATCAGATTTGGCTTTTTGTTCTTCTTTTTTTTTGCGTTGTTCCAGTGCAAACAAAAGAAATAAACATGAGAATACCAAAGAATTTGTAATTGTAACAATTTTATGGGAGAATTGATGCCTTATCTGAGAGAAATTCAGGGCTGCCCATATTTTTGGCCATGACTGTAAATGTAACCCTCTTAATGTGGCTGCACTGAGAGTCCCTGCTGAGAGCTGAGTACAACAGGGGGACAACCATTAGAACATACTTGTCCTCAGCAAGGATCAGTCATGTGAAAAAATTAGGACACCCTTTGAAAGCATGTGTATTTTGTAACATGTTTTAATATATGGTTATTTAATCTCAATTTTAACAATACAGAGAGATTAAAGTAATACAACTAAACAAGTAAAACTGAAGAAAAGTCTTTTCAAGATCTTCTGTAAATGTAATTCTACAAAAATGCCTATTCTAACTGAGGAAAAAGATAGCACACCCTAGCCCCTAATAGCTAGTGTTACCTCCTTTGGCTGAAATAACTGCAGTGAGACGGTTCTTGTAGCCATCTACCAGTCTCTGACATCGGTCTGAGGGAATTTTATCCCACTCCTCAATGCAGAATTGTTTCAGCTGTGAGATGTTTGAGGGGTTTCTTGCATGTACAGCCCTTTTCAAGTCACCCCACAGCATCTCAATGGGATTCAGGTCTGGACTTTGACTCGGCCATTCCAGGACTCTCCATTTCTTCTTTTCCAGCCAGTCTTCGGTTGATTTACTGTCAGCTTTAATTTTCTAACCGATGGTCTCACATGTTCTTCAAGCACCTTCTGATACACAGTAGAATTCATGGTGGATTCTGTGATGGTGAGCTGACCAGGTCCTGCTGCAGCAAAGCAGCCCCAAACCATGACACTTCCACCTCCATGCTTCACAGTTGGTATGAGGTTCTTTTCCTGGAATGCTGTGTTTGGTTTACGCCAAACATGTCCTCTGCTCTGGTGTCCAAATAATTCAATTTTGGACTCATCTGTCCAAAGAACATTATTCCAGAAGTCCTGGTCTTTGTCAACATTCTCTCTGGCAAATGTCAGTCTGGCCTTGATGTTTCTCTTAGAGAGCAAAGGTCTCTTCCTTGCACACCTCCCATGCAAGTTAAACTTGTGCAGTCTCTTTCTGATTGTAGAGGCATGCACTTCTACATCAACAGTAGCCAGAGCCTGCTGTAGGTCTCGAGATGACATTTTAGGGTTTTTGGAGACCTCTTTTAGCATCTTGCGGTCTGCTCTTGGTGTGAACTTGCTGGGGCGACCAGACCTGGGCATGTTGGCAGTTGTTTTGAAAGCCCTCCACAGCTGAAACAATTCTGCATTGAGGAGTGGGATAAAATTCCCTCAGACCGATGTCAGAGACTATTAGATGGCTACAAGAACCGTCTCACTGCAGTTATTTCAGCCAAAGGAGGTAACACTAGCTATTAGGGGCTAGGGTGTGCTAACTTTTTCCTCAGTTGGAATAGGCATTTTTGTAGAATTACATTTACAGAAGATCTTGAAAAGACTTTTCTTCAGTTTTACTTGTTTAGTTGTATTACTTTAATCTCTCTGTATTGTTAAAATTGAGATTAAATAACCATATATTAAAACATGTTACAAAATACACATGCTTTCAAAGGGTGTCCTAATTTTTTCACATGACTGTAAGTAATGAGAAGATAGTGAGGCCATCAACATCCTCAGTGAGAGATCTGAAAAGACTCCAAAAAGTTATCAAATACCTTCTTGTTCCACCCTTAGGCTGCTATTATCTGTTTAGAGCACTGATGCACTTAGACCTACACATCATGGGAATGCTGTATTTGTAAGTTTGTAGAAAGTACGACCTTTTATAGAAGTAAATTGTGAATGAATTTTGTTTTTAATAGGCTGCATCTTTTTCAGGTTCAGTCAGGATCGTGCGAGGAGAGGGCATGCCACAGTACCGAAACCCCTTTGAGAAGGGAGATCTGTATATCAAGTTTGATGTCCAGTTCCCAGACAACAACTGGATCAGCCCTGAGAAACTTGCAGTATGACACATTTTTTTTCATTATTAACTGTCTGTCATGTTTTGCCTTTTGGAGTTTCACTGTGACGATAAAAACATTCCGAGCCCCTACTGGCAGAAGTAAAACTTGACAATTTATGGTACTGTAAAGCAGTGTTTCTCAACTGGTGTCACCCTGGGACCCACTTTCCAACCCACTTGTCAAGTCGCGACCCACCAGTACAAGATTTCAAATACATTTATTAAATTATAAAACTTTTTTTTAAAAACGTAGTCAGTACAGCCTTTGTGTCAGATTTTTCTGTCTGCACTGAGGAAATGTTACTCAAAAATAAAAATAAACACCACAATAAGCACCACAGGGTGCCGTATATGTATAAAACTGAATGCAGAACTGCAAACACAACATGATAAGACTTTATAGTCTCTTTTCACTTAACATGTAAGCAAGATTTTATTTTCCAGTGAACTAATGAGATAGCTGTAGTTGTCCTATAGTTCTGACAGTAGTTTCAATGTCTGGGCTGATAGTAGACAGAGCTACTCTCAGATCATGTTCAGTGTCCAAGCTGTTCCTTCGCTTTGACTTGAGCTGTACCAAAGTGGAGAAGCCACTTTAACACAGATAGGTTGTTGTGAACAGTAGGATTGCTTTGACTGCCAGTGTAACGAGGGACGGATATTCAGACATCATGTATTTGCTCCAGAAATGAGGGAGGCTTTTCTCATCACATTTCTTTCTCAGCATCTGGTCACATGACAGCTCGACCAGCTGATTCTCCTCGCTGCTTGGCAACACAACGCTTTCCGTGTCGATTCCAAAGGGATCTCTTATCCAGTGATTATTGTCATGTTTCTCTGGAAAGTAGTCCTCAAAGCGAGCGTGTAGACTGGTCAGATGTGCAGTGACAGTTATTTTCAGGGCATTTTTGGCCACTGTATTTAGCTCTACTGCTGCGTGGCAAGTGTTGGGAAACATGTCAAGTCTGTCTTTAGTCAGTGATTTATCCACAACCTCAACTTCTTTTTGAAGGCAGTGACTTTGTCAGTCTGTTCAAAGATGTGTCCTCTCCCCTGCAAAGACACATTTAAAGTGTTGAGGTGCTCGAACACATCAGCAAGATACTCTACGCGCACAAGCCAGAGTTCATTACTGAGCATCTCAGTGTACGGGGAGTTACTGTGTGAGAGGAAGGCGGTGATTTCGTGTTTAAGCTCGTAAAAGCGTGACATTACCTTTCCCCTTGAAAGCCAGCAAACTTCTGAATGATACAACTGGACGTGCTCTGATCCCAGGTCTTTGCACAGCTCTGTGAAACAGCGGTTGTTCTCGGTGCTCCGTTTAATGTAGTTCACTATTTTTATGGCATCTTTCAGTGTTGTATCAAGCACCGACACCATATCCTCAGCCACAAGTGCTTCTCAGTGAAGAAAGCAGTGAGTCCACGTCACATTCAACGCTCTCTCCATGATTTTCATCACAACTCCTGAGTTTTTTTACAGTCATGGAAGCTGTGCCATCAGTTGTTACCCCCACATAACAGTATGGCCTTCAACTTGTCCACTGCTGACTGTCCTAATACCTTTCTGACCATGTTCAGGGCCGCAGGTAAGAGGAGCTCCTCTGCTATTGTATGTGGCTTCTTGGCCTTTGCTATACGTTGAGCGATGAGGTATGAGACCCGTAGTGCCTGCTCTGATTTGGAACACAAGGACAGCAGTGTCTTCTGGGTGGTCCTCAGGTCCCGAAGTAGTCTTTGAAAGTATTCGACTGGTTTGTCTTTGTACGTGGCGTGTTTTGTTTCTAAATGGCGTTTTAAATTGGATGGCTTCATACTATTTTTGTGCCAGTACTTCACTGCATATCACACATTGAGGCTTATGTCCATTTTTATCATCTATGTAAGTAAATCCATATTTAACATAGTCCAATTCATATTTTCACTTTGCCATCTTCTTAACAAGTGGACCTATCTTCAGTGAGTGTACACTGTCACCTGCCAATCAAGGCTTGTCATGGCAAGGTTAGCCCTCTGCATATCATGCACGCACGCATTTCAAAACAAAAGCCCTATGTTTGATACTATACCTAAGCATTTGAATCCACAACAATATATCACTCTCAAAAACAATTTTTTTTTTTTTTTTCTCACCATGTCTCTTGCAACTCACCTGAAACATGCTCGCGACCCACTTCTGGGTCGCGACCCACCCCGTGAGAAACACTGCTATAAAGTGTCTTTCATGACATATGGCCGTTATTCTGGATTTCTTTTCACATTCATATAGAATTGAAGTCAGACGTTTAAATGATTTAAGTCATTAAAACTTTTTATTTATTTATTTTTTTTTTTAAACCACTCCACAGACGTCGTGTTAACGAAATCTCTTTTTGGCAAGTTGGTTAGGACTTGTACTTAGATTAATTCACTGTCATAATTCCAGTGGGTCAGAAGTTTACATACGCTCAGTTGACTGTGCCTTTAAACAGCTTGGAAAATGCCAGAAAATGTCATTAGAAGCTTCTGACTGCCTAATCATTTGACATCATTTGAGTCAATAGGAGGTGCATCGTTGGATGTATTTTAAGGCCTGTGTTCAGTATCTCCTTGTTTATCATGGAAAATCAAAAGAAATCAGCCAAGACCACAGAAAAAACAATTGAGAACCTCCACAAGTCTGGTTCATGCTTGGGAGCAATTTCCAAATGCCTGAAGGTATCACGTCCCTGTGTACAAACGGCACCATGCAAGTATAAACACCATGGGACAACACAGCCATCACACCGCTCAGGAAGGAGATGTCTTCTGTCGCCTAAAGCTCAATGTACTTTGGTTTAAACAATACAGATCAATCCCAGAACAGCAGCAAGGGACCTTGTGAAAACACTGGAGGAAACGGGTATCATGGTGAAACGAGTCAGATATTGACATAACCTGAAAGGCTGCTCAGCAAGGAAGAAGCCACTGCTCCAGGACCACCATAAAAAAGGCAGACTATGGTTTGCAGCTGCACATGGGGTCAAACATCTGACTTTTTGGAGAAATGTCCTCTGGTCTGATTAAACAAAAACTGAACTGTTTGGCCATGTCTGGAGATAAAAGGAGGAGGCCGCAAGCCAAAGAACACCATCCCAACCATGAAGCACAGGGGTGGCAGCATCATGTTGTAGGGGGGCTTGATCTGCTGCTGAACTGTTGTTTTGCTGTGCTAAATAGTACACTGGACATATTATTGTACACATTTGCCCCATTTTGATATTTGGGAGGCACTTTTGCTTTGCTATGCCAAAGTATTATGCCAAGTATTAAGATGTTCAAATGATATCTTATTTATAACAGTTTTATTATGACAATGACAAAGTATTGAATTTGAATTTTAGTGGTAATGTAACTGATCATCCAGTATGCATTGATGTACAGAGCTCTAATTTACTTCACATTCAGCATCAGTGCCTGGTTACCTAGATAGCTAACCTGAGCTTGTTGACTGTCAAAATTAGTAATTTAATCGTGTTACACTGTAGGTCAACTAAAGCAGGTAAACTTACATGCCACATTCAGTGAGAAAGCGTAGGCCACCAGGGATGAATTTGCAGCTGAATTTATAACCAATTGTTATAACCAATTTATAACCAATGTCCACTGAATTATTTCAGTAAGTTTTACTACACATTTACTCAGTAACACTAAGTTATTGCAGCTAGAAACTGCTAGGGATTTAGCTTTGTTTCACAGTAACTGCTAAATCCCTACAGCAGCAATGGACTCTTGGCCACTCAAACCATTTAGCACTACTGTGTGATCAGAAAACATGATGAGACTGTCTGCTTAATTCTGATATATGCATTCCATGTGTAGGAACTGGAGGACATGCTGCCCTCACGCTCAGAGCCACCTATCATCACTGGAGACACAGAGGAGGTAGACCTGCAGGATTACGACATCAGACAGAGCTCGACATCAAGCGGCCGCAGAGAGGCTTACCATGACAGCTCCGATGAAGAGGGCGGCCACCATGGGCCAGGGGTACAGTGCGCCCACCAGTAATCTCTTATTTTATCACTTGCGATTCACATTCTACTGTGGGAGTTCTGGAGTAAACAAGGGTGTAGGTCAGACAGGTAAGGCTTGGTAGTGCCTCAGACACAGATCAGACATAGAGCCTGGAATTGTTGGGGGGCTCTTATTGACAGTGTGCATGGATTATTATTGTTATTATTATTATTATTATTATTATTATTATTATTGTGATCTTTGTCTGAGGAACCACCATTTGAGCAGATTTAGTCACTTTAAACAGCATCAGATAGAGGTGATATAAATTATTTAAGATGTATGAAAACTAATGGACCCTCCCAGTGAACTCCATACCCTGCAGAGCTAAGATCTGGGGTTCAGTGTGATGACATGACCCCCCCACCCTTGCATTCCTGTTACCCCTGTAAAAGTTCATTCTCCTCTGCTAATGGGAACTCCAGATCAAAAAAGGAATGTCTCTTGTTTGCTGGGTGTGTGACTTGCATTTTGTTTTCATAGCATTTGCAATAATTAATTTAAATCTAACCAGTGTGCATACATAAAGCAGCTGATCAGTGTGACATGCAGGTCCTTGGACTCATGTTCATGGACTCATCACTTGGCTCCATTTGTAAGATTTGTTTCTGATTTTATGGCTTTATTTTCTTTGTAGATTTTTACTTGTCTTTTTTTTCTTTATTTTAATTCTAACCAGAGCTTGGTTATTATGTGTATCATTAAACTGGTGTCGGTAAGCTTCATCAGCTGCTATATTCAAAGCTGTGTGTTTAAAAAAAAAAAAGAAATCATAAAGGCCTGTAGATTCTATCTGTGTTGATACAATGTGCATGTAAAAAGATTTGGTTCCTGCACTTAGCAAACATCAGTCAAATAAAGCAGCACAAGTAAGAAAATGTCTTTGTTGAATAAACTTGAAATTTCATGTACTATTTTTTTTTCTTCATTCTGACTATTAATCATGAAAATAATATCACTACTGTTTGCATGTAGCCAAGCAGATTGGCTGTGGTGGTTGCTGACACTTTTGCCATCACATAAACACTATAGAGATGCATAGAACTTGATTTGTGGCAGTCAGAGCATCATACTGGAAAACAAAATCAACTGTTCCTTTCCAAAAGTGCTAATCCACAGATTCTGACGGTGTTGGTGGTCAACTGCTCTCAATAACTTGACAGCAAATATCACTTGATCTCCTTTTCTGCCAGTCACCTTGTAAATGTGAATGAGGCCACACTCCGTCAGTGCACGGTGAGTGAGTGGAAAGGCTTGCAGACAAATTGTTGTGGTGGATATTCATTAGGTCCTGTGGTAGTTGAAATTTCTTCTTTTCCTGTATTGTCATTCAGAACTGATGAAGCCTCTTGGATGAGAAGTGAAACATCTTCGACCTATAAATCTAAGTCCAGTTGAAGTTGAAGTTTTTTCAGTTTACTATGACCTGGATGACTGAGAATCTGCCCAGACAATAATGGAAAAAATACATTAAGCTTATAAAACACTAGTGGAAAAAGTACATTAAGCTTATAAAACACCAGTGCAACGGGATGAAATGGTGCAGAATAATAAAAGTTGCATGAGTTCAATGGATGTAAATAGCGCAAAGATAAATATACAGTATCTACATATGTACAGTACAGTGAGTATGTGTAAATTAACAGATTGCTTCACTATTACAGGTAACAGAAGTGTATTGCATTAGTTCCGGAAGGACAGATAAGAAGGGGTGAGGTGTGTGTGGTAGTATAGAGGAAGGCATTGGGGGTCAACAGGGGACAGAGTTCAGTAAGGAGACAGCTGTGAGGAAGAGGCTGGTCCTGAGTCTACTGGTCTTGGTCCAGAGGCTCCTGAAGCGCCTCCCAGAGGCCAGGAAGTCAAACAGTTTGTGAGCAGAGTGAGAGGAGTCCTTGAGAATGCTACGAGCTCTGACCCCAGATTGCCTTTGACCACCGATTACTGCCTCACCCTTCTGAGTCCTCGAGAACTCTGCGAGCACATCAGAGACAGCGTTCCCTGTGGACACCCTTAATGGCTGGAAGGCTGTGATGCGTTGGGCAGTTTTCACCATCCGCTGCAACACCTTGCAGTCGGTTTCCATACCAGATTGTAATACAGCTGGTCAGGATGCTCTCAATGGCACAGTGGTAGAAGTTCACCAGGATGGCTGAAGACAGGTGGTTCTTCTTCAGTGTCCTCAGGAAGAAGAGGTGTTGGTGAGCCTTCTTAACCAGGCTGTAGGTGTTTGTGGTCCAGGACAGATCCTCTGAGATGTGGGTTCCCAGGAATTTGAAGCTGGAGACAACAACCTTCCCATTAATATGGATGGGGTTGTGTGTTTACCTCCTTTCTCCCTCCTGTAGTCCACAATGAGCTCTTTGGTCTTGTTGGTGTTAAGGAGCAGGTTATTGTCATCACATCACACCACACAGCCAGGTGCTATACCTCCTTCCTGTAGGCTGACTCATCGTTGTCGCTGATGAGGCTGATCACCCACGGTGCCGTCTGCAAACTTGATGATGTGTTGGAGTTATGCACGGGCCTGCAGTCATGGGTTAAAAGGAAGTAGAGGAATGGGCTCAGCACACAGCCCTGTGGTACGCTGGTGTTGAGGATAATGATGGAGGAGCAGGTGTTGTCTGACCTAACAAGCTGAGACCTGTTGGTCAAAAAGTCCAGAATCCAGTTGCAGAGGGAGGTGCTGATGCCCAGGTCTCTAGGTTTGGTGGCTAATTTGTAGGGGATGACCATGTTAAATGCTGAGCTGAAGTCCATGAACAGCATTCTTGCGTAAGTATTGTTATTGTCCAGATGTCTGAGTACAGAGTGCAGTGCTATGGAGACTGCGTCCTCTGTGCTCCTATTCATTCAGTAGGCTAATTGGTGGGAGTCCAGTGTGGGTGGGAGAACCAGGCACTCAAAGCACTTGATGACAATGGGTGTGAGTACTACAGGGTGGTAGTCATTCAAGCATCTCGGGGTGGAATGTTTCAGCACTGGCACAATGGAAGTGGTTTTGAAGCATGTCGGCACAACTGTTTTGGTGAGGGACAGGTTAAATATGCCCATAAAGACACCAGCAAGCTTTCCAGCACATGCCCTGAGCACGCGTCCTGCCATCAGGTCCAGCAGCCTTGCATGCATCAATATGGCTCAGTGCAGCATACATATCAGTGGAGGTGAGTGTGACTTGATAGCTGTCTCCATGTTGTCCCGGTCGAAGCAAGCATAGAAGGCATTTAGCTCGTTGAGGAAAGAGATATCTGTGGATATCAGGGTGGAGTTGCCGGGCTTGTAGTCACTGATGACCTGGATGCCCTGCCACATACATCAGGGGTCAGAGTTTGTGAAGTGTTCCTCCACCTTTAGCTTGGTCTTCTTGATGCCCCTCCTCAGGTTGGCCCTGGATAAGCTGTAGGCCTGTGCATCACCAGATCTGAAGGCAGAGTTGCAGGCCTTCCACACCTGCTTGTTCATCCATGGCTTCTGATTTGGGTACATGGTGATCTGTTTCTGGGTTGTGACATTTTTAAGTGAGTTGTGATGCATGTGGCTGAATCTGAGTGTGCAGAGCACTCATGTGCACCTCTGCATTCATCCTGTTGCTTCTGTCAGCAGTGAAATTACTAATAGCCAGTCCCACATGCCCAAGCCATAACAGAACCAGCACCACCATGTTTTATCCTTTGGGTGATTAAGTCCACGGTTTCCACCATATTAAGGATAATCACCTTTATTGGCCAAGTATGTTACACACACAAGGAATTTGTTTCCGGTACAGAACCGAGGTAGCCATCTGCGGTGCCAACTCAACCAATGGCTCTAACCACTGGGGGCAACTTGTGGGTTCAGTGTCTTGCCCAAGGACACTTCGACTGCTGGCACCGAGATTCAAACCTCCAACCTTCCGGTTGGGAGACGACTGCTCTACCCACCACACTGTCGCCTCTCCCAATTCATTATTAATAGAGTTTGATTTTTGTGTTATCTGTCTGTAGAATTTGGTTCTACAAATCTTTTACTTTTTGTGGGTTTTTGTGGATTGCAAACTGACCTTTGTGTTTTTGAGGTTTTGCAGGAGTCTGTATCTTATCCAGATCCTCTGAGGGTCTGGTCATGAAGTCTTGTCTCTGCCATTGACAAAGAAATATGTACACCTACATCCTTGAGAGGATTCTTTACTTGCTGTGCAATCATAAAGGGGGTTTTCTTCAACATGCAAATAATTTACCCATCAGCCACAAGACATCCACTCCTCGGTCTAACCACGTCATTTGCACTTTATGTAGGATTCGTTGTTTTATTTTAAATTGAATGTGCTGAAACACAGAGCCTGAAGAGCCAACGTTAGGATGTGACTGTATCTTAACTACATATTGTATATCTTTTTATTTTCTGGCATTTGGGCCAGTGCAGGTCAGAGCTGGCTTTTGTGGCCCAAAGCCTCACTGGTGGGCTGCAGTGCATCCACAGTACACTGACCAGCACCCTGTTGTGCAGGGCCCCAGAAATGCTCTGCACTCTGCAATTACTAAAATCAATTCCCTGAAGGGGAACACGCAGTTCTAAAGGGGCAGGCTGGCTTCCTAGAAAAAAAGACAGCCTGATAGAACTGAGGCAGCTCCAAGAGGAGCTCAAGGAGAAAGATGAGCTAATCCAAATTAGATCCCGAGATTTGGTGAGTTAGGATAGATCACAGTACGGTAGGCCTATCTTAAGTCACTCCTAGGTAAAGTCCACTTACCCAGGTGGTATTCTTTGAATTTAATTTCATAACACCAGTCTTACAAGTTTCAACCATATTTTCAGTGCCAAAATGAATCTTCAAACTCTGTTTTAGAAGTGTGCCAGAGAAATCCGTAGTTAAAGAGAGTGTATCAACCACCGATACCGATATAAAATTGAACTGCATGATCCAGAATGTAACTGTTTATAAAATCCTATTTCGAGCAGTGTTGCTGTCGGCGCCGTGGCTTAGTTGGTTAAAGCGCCTGTCTAGTAAACAGGAGATCCTGGGTTCGAATCCCAGCGGTGCCTTTTTATTTTTATTTTTATCTCTGTCAACATCACTCCAGTTTATTCCAGTCGTTCGTTAACACAGATCGAATAACTCTATCAATTGTAAAAAACGAAAAATAATGAAAACCTTCACCTTTCTTCCTCTACAAACATGCTTCAGTGAAAATCCAAAAAACGTAAATGATTTGTATATTTTTGTCTTACATATGCAGTACTCCGATCTTACCACATGATAGCGACAGTGAAACTGTTTATTGAACACAGAAGCCTTTACATGAAGAGACTAGGCGAATACTGATGGATCATTTAATTTCCTGATCATTTCAACAAAAAATCACCACTCTGGTGTAATATGCACTTCAGGGTAGTGTCTACAGTTTCTACCTAGCTGCTCGTTGCATTCAATCCTAGTGTGAGGGGGAAGAAGACCTATGAACAAAGGTTAATGTATACATTGTCCTTTTAGATGTAGCAAGTCGAACACTGAGTGGACCCAAATAGAGCGGAGGTTTGACGGCTTTGTCTTCAAAATAAAGTCATTAGTAAGACATATGATTATATTTCGGTATTTTGTAATGATTTAGCCTATTGTTTTAGAGCGGTCTTATTCCTACACCTGACTTAGGCTACGCCATCATGTAGGTAATCCTTCTATTTAATTCCCTTGCTTAAATTTTCACGTTTAAATTTAGAGGTTATGCTGGTTTTGCTGTAGGCCTATAGGCTACTATTGTATTTAGGCACTATTGTATTTATTTCTTCTCTTTTTCTTTTCTTTTTTTTCCTGTCAGTGAAGTAAATCATAAATTTGGTGCATCATGTCAGTAGGCATATTCTACACCTATGTCCAGCTGTGCAAAGCTGACACAGAT